GTGTCTGCATCTCTCTCTCTCTCTCTCTCTCTCTCTCTCTCTCTCTCTCTCTCTCTCTCTCTCTCCCTCTCTCCCTCCCTCCCTCCCCCTCCCTCCCTCCCTCCCTCTCTGTATCCACATATTCAGTCCAGTGGTGGGTTGCCCCTGGTTCGGTCCGATTCTATAGGAGCACTGGTGGCTCAGCAGACTAAAGCACTGTCATTAACATCCACTTACATCTGCTGCCTGCAATTACTGCAAGTTCAAATCTCACCAGGCTCAAGGTTGACTCAGCCTTCCATCCTTTCTAAGGTAGGTGAAATGAGGACCCAGTTGTGGAGGCAATAAGCTGACTTTGTATAAATATACAAAAGTATGAAGGCTATTGCTTAACGCATTGTAAGCCGCCCTGAGTCTCTGGAGAAGGGCGGCATATAAATAAATAAATAAATAAAAAGCTTGGCAGGAAGCTCCGCCCACCTGCCACAATGTCATTACGGGTGATTTGCGCATGCGCAAAAGCTTCTGTGCGAGAAAAACTCTCATTGTGAACCGATAATAAAGGTAAGTAGAACCCACTCCTGATTCAGTCCATCAAAATATTCCCCTATCTACTATACTTTGCTGGAGTTTTAACCATTGCTCCCAGTGACAAACCAATGATCCTAACAGTTCCATTCCAAATTCAATCAACTTATTTTCTTATTGTCTAACTCTCCGGAGTGATGCCCTGTGCTTTAGGAACAACATTTTTATGCTGACATTAAGGAAATGCCATTTATTTGACAGTGAAATACCTTGCTTCCATCCAAGCTTGGGCATGACTGTTAAAAGTCAGGACTGCAAGCTTTTATTATACAGATAGTCCCCCACTTACGACCACAACTGAGCCTAATTTTTTTGTTGCTAAGTGAGACAGTCGCTAAGTGAATTTTGCCCCATTTTACGACCTTCCTTGCTGCAGTTGTTCAGTTAGTAGCATGCTTGTTAAGTGAATCTGGCTTCCCCGTTGACTTTGCTTATCAGAAGGCTGCAAAAGGTGAAGTGATCCTGGGATAACAGCAACCATCATAACTATGAAACAGTTGCTCAGTACCCAAATTTTGATCACGTGACCATGCTGCAACAGCCATACTGTAAGTGTGAAAAATGGTCATAGTCACTTTTTTCAGTGATATGGTAACTTGGTCACTAAATGAACTGTTGTAAGTTAAGGATTGCTTGCATAATGATGGAAGGCAGCAAAATGCTGCCAGGTTTCAGATGGATACCTTTGTGCTTTATTGCCGCATGTTTCTGAAATATCTTGCTGCTTCTCCCTTAAGGCGGAGTTAGCAGGGATGAGGAAAGGACAATACAGAAACCCCTGAATTATCCAGCAAAGAGCCTAAGCCGTTTTCTGTATTGAGTCTAAACAGCAACTTTTGATGTATTTTGCTTCTCTGCAGTATTTGTCTTTACTGAAACTGCAGGCAATCAAAGCAACAGACTTACAGCATCAGAAGGCAGAGAATCTGTATCAGTTAAACCAGCATACATGTATAGTCCGATCACTCTAAAGTTATTATTTACAGTGTAAACATCCATTTTTATTATGTAAGAAACATAAATATCACAAATTTCACTCCACAATATATATTCGTTTTGATTTTAAATAATGAAACCATCTCTTTGAAATACTATGAGAAACTCAAAAAATAGCTTGATCTTTTTTTTAAGATTTTTTTTTTCTTTGCAGGACTTTTTGCAGGATTTTTTTTTATGAGGTGTTTTCAGGGGTCCTGAGAGAGAGAGAGAGAGAGAGAGAGAGAGAGAGAGAAAAGAAAACAACAAAAAAACATATCAGCTTAAGTGTTTAATACACTTTAATGAAGAGAGATGATATTTCTTAAAAATTTGGTCTTGCTAATTAACAACTGCTAGATGGATTCAAGTTTTTACGTATTCCCAGAAATGGAAAGGAATATTCATCAGTTGATTTATGATTCCTACTACAATGTCTCCCCTAGAATAAAGGTGGGTGCAAAGTTATAAACGCCGGACCACATGGATCCCTCAGCCTCTTTTGGTGCCCTCCGCCCACAATCACCCGCCTGAAATGTTTTGACAAACTGAATGGCTGCACCATGATTTTCTGCTGGGTTCTATTTTTTCTCAAAATAAAAAGTTAATATATATATATATATTATGCCAGTAATGTTTAATCCAGAGGTGGTATTCAGCAGGTTCTGACCAGTTATGGAGAACCGGTAGTAGAAATTTTGAGTAGTTCGGAGAACCGGTCAATACCACCTCTGACTGGCCCTGCCCCCATCTATTCTCTGTCTCCCGAGTCTCAGCTGATCAGGAGGAAATGGGGATTTTGCAGTAACCTTCCCCTGGAGTGGGGTGGGAATGGAGATTTTACAGTATCCTTCCCTTGCCACGCCCACCAAGCCACGCCATGCCCGCCCACCAAGCCACACCCACAGAACCGGTAGTAAAAAAATTTGAATCCCACCACTGGTTTAATCTGATCATTAAAAAAATATGAAACCCACCAATTTAAGGAAAGGGGATGAAAATTCCAGTCCCACCTCTGTGATGATGTAATTGTACCCTGTTTCACCGAAAATAAGGCATCTCCTGATAATAAGCCCAATCGGGCTTTTGAATGCATGCGCTAAAATAAGCCTCCCCCTGAAAATAAGCCCTTCCCAAAAACGCAGAGCTGGAAATTGGGTAAGATGGCAAGAGGAGGTCTGTCTTGCTCCGCATGCCCCAAAATAATAAGACCTCCCCCCCAAATAAGGCCAAACGCTTATTTTGGGGCTCAAAAAATATAAGACAGGGTCTTATTTTCAGGGAAACATGGTACTACTGTCATATTGCCTTCCAAACAATGATTTGGAAAAGTACAACTCCTGACAACCAAACACTCAGATATTCTTGTTCTGAAAGATCCCCTAATGGTTGGGGATGGGGATGTGATTGGTAATAGAGTTAGGAGGGATTTGTTAATGTATTCCACCTCTCCTGCACAATCTACTGGAGATTGTGTGCTGGGTCAATTCCATTTCCATGTCAAGAAGAAAATGATATTTAAAACAAATTAAGTAAATAAAAACTTTTCTTGATACAGTTTTTCTGTAGGCTGAGTGGATTTTTTAAGTCAACTTTTTGAACCGGGTTTTCTTAATTAATGTTCTAAAACTTGCAAGCTCCGCACTTTTGTTGATTTACGACTCTTCTATTAGTCTGAGAGATTTTATCCTTAACAGTAATACTAACAACAACAACAACAACAATATCACATGTTGCTTGTGCTCTAGAAATTCAATGAAAGTCAATTCAATAAGACATCACTTTCTTAGCATTTCTGTAATCCAGCCAAACCAGAAATTGTGCAAATTGCATTATAAAGAGATCTATGACCAACCAGCAGATCTCACTTTATGTATGATTTCCCTGCATCTGCACACAAAGTCTTTTATAGTGCTGATGGCTTCAATATGGGAATACAGCAAATACACTTCTAAGGATGCTCTTAAATCATAATGCTTCTTCTGTATGCTTTGTCATAAAGGCTGGGATAGTGGATTAAACATCTTCCAGGGATGACAGATGTCTAGCCATTGATCATGCTAACTGGGTTGATGGGAGCCAAAGTCCAAAACAATTGATGCCTCTGAAGGAATCATTACAACTACACTTAGATGCTGGATCCTCACATTGAAATAAAGGAAGAACCACAGTTTGGACAAAATCCTGGGAAAGTGGCATCCAGACAAAGGAGAGAAAATTCATTTTGTTCTTCCCTTCATTTCTAGAGCCCAAAATTGCTTATTTTCATCTCTACTAAGACCTCTTAGAATTCTGAACATGGATAGTTCTTATAGAACCTTTAGTAGAAAGTAGCTGAAGGAAGATAGAAACTAAATAAATTATTCAAAGATTCTGCTCTGATCTCTGTAGTATTTCTTACATCACCATCTTTAAATATAAAAGTACCAATTGCGTGCATTTTGTTTGCCCCATTTGTATAACATTGTTCTGAGCTGTTGATCCTATCGGTTGACTTTCATGGCAGCTGCTGAAAGACTAGTCTCTCTTTTGGAACAGGAAAAAATATAGAGGATTATTTCATTTTACAGGATGTTCGTTAAAATCCAAGCTCATCCAATAAAACTGGATGGTGGAAGATTCAGATGAACTGAAAAAAATACTGCTCACAAAGTATATAGTTCCATTCAGGAACTTACTAGAAAGAGTAGTCTTGAAGGTTACCGCCAGACAGTTTTAAAAGGGGATTAAACAAAATCATGGTTGATAAGGCTATTAATGGCCATTGCCCTATATTGCCTCCAGTATCAGATATATGTCTGTTCAATAGTTGTTGCTCAAGAACAGTAGTGGGGGAAAATTATGCCTAGAAGTAGCTGTTATGATTTGTAGAGGGATAAAATTGATCCCCTTGGAAGCAGAATGCTGGGTTAGATAGCTTTTAAGCCTGATCCACCATGCTACTTTTTATGTTCCAATGCTACATGTATAGTCCAATCTAATTGGACTAATTGGACAGTCTTTTAAGTAGGATTTGATATTTCCAAACTTGTCAAGACATGGTTCTTCCCTACCCTGGCTACCACAATGTGTGCACCGATAACTGAACATCATATCAGGGGGAAGCAAATCAAAGGCTATAGAGCATGTTTAGAACTAAATTAGTCAATATGTATCTTCTCATTTAGTATTTTTTCCACCATAATATTCATAAATATTTTATAATCTGAATTTAACAGATTGGTCTATAATTCTTAATTTGTTTATTGTCAGTGCCTTCCTTAGGGATCAGAGTAGTACCTTTGCTTCCCTCAAGACTTCATTACATATTTCCAATAGTAATAATTCTATCGAATCTCCTAAGTGTTTATAAACTTCCCCTGGCAATCCATTTCGGTTTTTTGTTTCCGAATTGCTTCTTTAAGTTTGGATAATGTTATTTCCTTATTTAGACGTAAATTTTGTTTACATATATTTGATCAAGTAGGAATATCTGGGAATATATGAAGAGAGTTAAGATTTGTGTATTGTCAGAACAACGTTGAATTGTACAATTATTATGGACGTATTCTTGTTACAGATGTATTTGTATTTTAATATTTTAAACTGTAATAAAGTTTTTTTGACATTAAAAGAAAAAGAAAAAAAAAGAACTAAATTAGTCAATATTGGATCCTGATAAGCATGCCTGGCTGGCTAGTAGTCTAAATAGGAACATGTTTGTTAAGATATTGCATGGCCAATATTTTGAACTAGGTTCAAAACAGTTGTCTGACATGAGGGCCCACATATAGATACCTTCCCTAGATATGTCAATTCCCACCATTTATGTCTGATAAGATTCTTTGTCTCACATCTCCAACAAAAGATCTAGACAAGGCTGTCCATTTTAATCATATTCCATTGAAGAAGGTATTTTCCTTCATTGATCGCTTTTGACTGGCTTAATGCAGAACAGCTCACTGCTTTGAAACTATTGCATAATTTGAGTGAGGGTGTCCTGCTGGTTGCCTTGAAAGAGACGGTTGTGAGGCCCCTCCTCAAGAAGCCCTCCCTGGATCCGGCTGTTTTGGCTAACTATCGTCCAGTTTCCAACCTTCGTTTTATTGCAAAGGTTGTTGAGAGTGTGGTGGCGCGACAGCTTCCCCAGTACCTGGATGAAGCTGTCTATTTAGATCCTCTCCAGTCCGGCTTCAGACCTGGGTACAGCACGGAAACGGCATTGGTTGCGTTGGTGGATGATCTCTGGAGGGCTCGGGGTAGGGGTTATTCCTCTATCCTGGTCCTGTTAGATCTCTCAGCGGCTTTTGATACCATCGACCATGGTATCATGTTGCGCCGGCTGGAGGGACTGGGAGTGGGGGGCACTGTCTTGAGGTGGTTCTCCCCCTATCTCTCCAACCAGTCGCAATCTGTGTTGACAGGGGGGCAGCGGTCGACCCCGAGGTGCCTTGTTTGTGGGGTGCCACAAGGGTCGGTCCTCTCACCCCTCCTGTTCAACATTTATGTGAAGCCGCTGGGTGAGATCATCCGTGGTTTTGGGGTGGAGTTCCATCAGTACGCTGATGATACTCAGCTGTACATCTCCACCCCAGACCATCCCAATGATGCCTTGGAAGTGATTTCCCAGTGCCTGGAGGCCGTGCGGGTCTGGATGGGGAGAAACAGGCTCCGACTCAACCCTTCCAAGACTGAGTGGCTGTGGCTGCCGGCGTCCCGGTATAGCCAGCTGGCGCCATTGCTGGTTATTGGGGGCGAATCATTGGTCCCCACGGAAAGGGCCCTCAACTTGGGTGTCCTCCTGGACTCACGGCTGTCTTTAGAAGATCATATGATGGGCCTTCTATCTGGTTCGCCTGATACGCCAGTTGCGCCGCTTTCTGGATCGGGACTCCCTACGCACGGTCACTCAAGCACTCGTCACTTCTCGTCTGGACTATTGTAACGCTCTCTACATGGGGCTCCCCTTGGGGTGCACCCGGAGGCTCCAACTGGTGCAGAATGCGGCCATGCGGGGGATTATGGGAGCAACGGGGCGCTCCCATGTGACTCCTCTCCTGCGCGAACTGCATTGGCTTCTGGTGGACTTCCAGGTGTTCTTAAAGGTGTTGGTGATCACCTTTAAAGCGCTCCATGGCTTAGGGATGAGGTACTTACGGGACCTCCTTCTGCCACCAATTGCCTCCCACCGGCCAGTTTGCTCCCACAGAGAGGGCCTCCTCAGGGTGCCGTCGGCCAGGCAATGTCGGCTGGCGACCCCCAGGGGGAGAGCCTTCTCTGTGGTAGCACCTGCCCTCTGGAACAATCTACCCCCAGAGATACGAGTGATCCCAGACCTCCGGACTTTTCGTCCGGGGCCTTAAAACCTATTTTTTTCAGTTAGCCGGGCTGTCCTGATTTTATGGTTGGTTTTTAAAATTTGATATTGATTTTATTTGAAATGTTTTAAATTATGGGCCAAACCTTATTTAATTATTTTAAACCTATTTCAACTTTTGTGTACAAATGTTTTATTTTGGCTGTTCACCGCCCTGAGTCCGAAAGGAGAAGGGTGGTATAGAAATTTGAAAAATAAAAATAAATAAATAAATAATTTCAATCTCACATGTATGAGGAACTCATAGTTTGAGAGTGACTGACATGTAATCAAGCTATGAGGCAATAATTTGTAAATGCAGGTCTGGTATGTCAGGATAAACCTTGGGGATTGTCAGCTACAGATTCAGTTTCAATTAATCAGAAGGATATGAAGGAAAAGCTATAGATTATCCATCTATCTATCTATCTATCTATCTATCTATCTATCTATCTATCATCTATCTATCTCATTAAAGGTAAGTGCTTATGCGATGATCTTCAAAAAAATGATTCTCACCTTAATTAAGGAGGAGACACACTGAGCTACAGCATCTTCATATTCAGTTTAAGAAAAATCCCAGGAAACTGAGTAAATTAACCATATCAAACTATAATTTATCATTAGCTTACATATATTTAAGCCCTGCAACTATCTTCTTCGACCCCTTTGGGGGTCGAATGACCCTTTCACAGGGGTCGCCTAAGACTATCAGAAAACACATATTTTCAATGGTTTTAGGAATAATTTTATGGTTGGGGGTCACCACAACATGAGGAACTGTATTAAAGGATCGCAGCATTAGGAAGGTTGAGAACCACTGATCTACAGTGACATCACCATAATTTTCTAAGAAGGCTGGTTCAAGCAATTCTACTTCATCCTGAAGGTTGGGTTGGTTGGGATCTTCTTGACTAAATGGCAGAGAAACAATGCACATTTTGTTGAATCCCTAGGAGTGAATTAATCTTAGTGCTTTTGCTCTTCTATTCTGCCAAACATTATAGGTCTTTACTGAAAAGATACAACTCAACTAGTTTTGTTATATAAAAGGATGTATAGCTATTCTATGGAAACATAGTACAAAGCTTTTTATTTAGTAATTATCAAACTACTATTTGAGAGTTAGGTCTCCAATTTTTTGCTAAATAATTCCTTTGCATGCAGAAAGATGTCAAAAAATAACAAATAGAAAACGCAGAGGTCATGCTCACCTTTCTTTCAGTACAAAATCTACTGTGGTTTAAAGCTATTTTTATTATAATTTGTCCTCAAATTATAATAAAATAACAGAAAGCTGCTGTTATTAACTGGTTTTCCATGCATTAAAAAGAAGATTTTGTTCATGGGTTATTACTGTCTGATCCTTTTAAAGCCCAGATATTTTTAGGCATTTCCTCTGCCTACCTTTTATTCTCAGGTATAACAGACTCCAGGTACTTCTTCACCGCCAGCTGTTCTAGTAAACGGCTGTAGTGGTCAGTGAAGACAGAATCAGCTTGACGTTTGACTATCTGCTCATCACGGGGTGTGTTGTTTCTGCAAGGAAAAATGGAGTTGCAAGAAGCATATTAATGCACAAGCCTCTCAGAGACTAGGCCAGTCAACATTCATACTTTTATTGTAATTCTCACTTTTTTAAAAAATAAAACAAAACAGTACAAGCCCTTGTCTTGATCTTATCCTCTGCTCTAATAGATTAACCCTGATTAAGTGTTTCTTGGGTTTGTGAACACATTGACCCTGAAGGGAAATCATAGCTAGAATGAATATCCAAGTATAAACTGGAATTTAGGCCATGTGGCAAATAATTAATTTTTTATTGGTCTTGAAAATAGTATCTGGCCTCCTAAAGTTCCATCCACAAAGTATCCAGCACATTTAAGTGCAACAGTGAAATGCCTGCAAATGAATTATTGACTTCGCTTTTTCAGTATAAAAGGCAGGAGACCTAAGGCACAGGATGTTTCTGGGCATGTGGTCTACTTTACCAGAGGCATCTGAGTTCTTAATTGATTTGTTCACTGTTTAATTGATTTGTTCACAGTTTACTCAATGTAACTGGTTTGTACCTAATGCAAAGTCATAATGGGCAAGTTTTCATGTCACCACCATTTTGTAAACAGCATACTATCAGAGCTTTTCCTAAATTCTAGCTTCAGAAATTTCCAGCAATGCTCTCTCTCCCTCTCCCTCTCCCTCTCCCTCTCCCTCTGTCTGTCTGTCTGTCTCTCTCTCTCTGTCTCGTTTTCCAACCTCACCTTCTTAAATAAATGTATTCATGTGTTAGATTTATATCACACCTTTCTCCCCCAGGAGCTCAAAGAATCATGTAGAACAATGCTCTAACTTTTTTCTCTCAGGTTCAGCCTGGTGATCTCCTACATCACTGGTGTCAAGCAAATCTGTTGTAAAACGCCCATCATTTCTGTATGGTCTATGGCTAACCCCACATATAGTCTATTGCAGCAGCTAGTCAAAACACGAGTAACTGCGAGAAGGGCCTCCCATTCCAGGAAAGGTCATGACTGTTGTACCAGATGGAGTTGCATAGTCTTCCTTGCCACATCTGCTACCTCTCCTTTTTGCAATAACAAGAAACTGTGTAATAATATACTGTAAATATCTCTTCACTATAATTCAAATTTCTAAATGCACTGCTAGGTTCAGTTAAAGGTTTCTTCTTCACCATCTCAAACCTCTTTATCATTAATACAAAATATAAAAAATTACAAACTTCTGGATCACATGAACCATATAGGAATATTTAAAGGTTACCTGCACCGGGGAAACACATGGTACTTACTCAACTCTTTTTCCAAGTACGGATTCCAAATACTTAATTGCAGCAAGTCGACACAAAAGTTGATTTCTGGGACCATATTAGATCAGGAATTCTTTGCAAATTCTGATTTTTTGTTATGTATTTCTTAAAAATAGCTAGCTAGCTAAATGATAGATAGATAGATAGATAGATAGATAGATAGATAGATGATAGATAGATAGATAGATAGATAGATAGATAGATAGATAGATAGATGATAGATAGATAATCCTAAATATTTCCTTAACACCTTTCCCAGAACTAATCAAAAACTAAACACAAACATAAGTTTCAGAATTGCTCTATGAACTATGTCTTGGCAGATGTGATGGATTAATATTAAAGGCAATAAACAAACAGGTGATTTGATATAATATAGCCATAATATAGCAATAATTTCCCTTTCCTGAGAAATCCTTTTCTGCATCAAAAAAGAAATCTGAGTTTTTTTAAAAAAATGTTAATATATTTAGTAAATGTGAGAGAGCAATTTGCCCCATCCTGCTTCTGATTTGTTCACTTATTATGATTAGTTTAAATAAATAGGGCTCCAGTTAATTTGTGGACCAGACATGTTAATGTGTGGGTTATACACGCAGGGTTGATGTTAGCTAGTCCAGACAAGCACAACCAGGGGTACTAGTTCTATCTTTATTATAAGGTCAGAGACTTTTGCAAGACTGAAAATATTTTTCAGAATACTTTTACCCTCTGAAAAACTAAGGAGTTCCTTTTCAGACACTTTCTCTTCTTCAGACTCAAATTTTAGTTATCAGACTGTTTTCTTGGCTGTGGCTCTTCCCTCCTATCTGTCAAAGTCATTCCCACATACCATTACATCACAGAATAATAGAGTTGGAAGGACCTTGGAGATCTTCTGATCCAACCCCCTGCTCAAGCACAAAACCATATATCATTTCAGACACATGGTTGTCCAATCTCTTCTTTAAAATCTCCAGTGATGGAGCCCCCCACAACTTTTGAAAGGAAGGCATTCCACTGATTAATTCTTCTAACTGTCAGGAAATTTCTCTTTATTTATAAGTTTTTCTGTCCTTAATTAATTTCCATCCATTGCTTCTTGTTCTCCTTTTAGGTGCTTTGGAAAATAGATTGACCTCACCCCCACCCACACTTTGTAGCAGCCCCTTAGATATTGGAACACTGTTATCATGTCATCCCTAGTCCTTCTTTTCATTAAATTAAGCACTCCCAATTCCCACAACCCTTCTTCATCTGTTTTAGCTTCCAGTCCTCTAATTATCTTTCTTGCTCTTTTTCTAGAGTCTCAATGTCTTTTTTATAATGTGGTGACCAAAGCTGGATGCAAAGTAATTACATGAGTAATATACCACTTTTTGGACAAAGTAGTGCAACTTCCAGAAAGTTTTTCTCCATAATTCTAATCTAGATTACAATACTGATGTTTCCTTTTGATCTGCCATCTAAGTACTAACCAAGCCAACCCTGCTTCATTTCTTAAGATTTATAATAAATGCTTTCTGAATATCTCAAATATCTCGAGACTTATTGCTAAGGGAAGTCTAAGTGAAGGTGTGTCACTTAAGTGAAGGTGAAGGTGTATCACTTTATTGAAGGTTTTTCTTACGTGTGATATAGTAATGTGTGCTCTTTTATATGAATGAAACCATGCAAAACAAGCTTAGAATCCAGATCCCAGAGCACCAAATTTATGACAACTATTCAAGTTTCTCATAAACAAATATAGGGACTACTTTAACAATTTTCCAAATAATTAAGAACATCTTCTTTATATTCACAAGATAGCAGCTGCATAATGACATTACCTGCTTACAGTTGTATGTGCATTTGCATACATGGAAATCTACCTCCCCAACACACACACTAACCCCAGCCTTGAGTTTAATACTTTAAAGACACCCAAACTGAAGGGTGATAAATCTCTATTGTTATTGTTTTTTAAAAAATATTTAGTGGACTAGTTTATCTTTTCTATCCTACTCCGTGTATACAAGTAAAATCCAATTGCAATAGCTCAAAAATACCTAATTCATTTGCCTAAATAAATACTCTGGTATCTTTTTGTTAAAGAGTAAAAAGTAGTATAATATTCTTCAGATGACTTTGGGACAGTGAAAGCAATATTTGCTATTAGACTTGGCTATCAACACAAGTAAAAATTTATCTTATTTCAGTCCGTAGGATTCAAGTAGTTCTTAAATTTACAAATCATGTTATCAGTTGTAGGAGAGATTGCTTAGGGTTTTCTTACCTTATAGCTGAGTATGATCCTAAAGGAGGCAAGGCAATGGCTTGAGAGCAGAAAACATAGAGGAATGTAAAAAAGAGGAGAAGATGGGAGCTACTTCTGTGTTCCATCTCTTTTGACCTGGATTGGCAAAAATGACAGAAATAAGCCCTTTGTGCTACAAGTGTCCAATGCTTGATAAATAAATATCTTGTCAGAAGTAGACTTTTGTGGAAAATCAGTACCATTGATATGGAGAGGGAGGGAGGGTGCGAAGGAAAGAGAGAGAGAGAGAGATTTATAGTAAATGAGATCTACAGAAGATATAGATGTAAATGTAGGTGTAGATATATAGATCTCTCTCTTTCTCTCCCTCCCTCCCTCCCTCCTCCCTCCCTCCCTCCTGTGCTCATTTATAGCTTAAAATATGAATTAAGAATGTGGACTAGACATTTTCATTAAAATACTCAAGAGGCCAGAAATTTCTTCATAGTGAATATCTGAGATAGGAATTGTTATGCAGGTCTACACACAAGACTCTACTGATTTATACAGAGAAACTGTTACTAGTAATTTGAAGAACACCAATAATATATTGAATATTATAGCTATGCTCGGCTACTTGATAAATGCTTTCTTTCATGAGGTTAAGCATATGGCATGCAGAGAAATTTTAAATGAATCCTGACATAAAAAAGCAATGATGGAAGTTGAGATACAGAGGATATGGGTGGGGGGTGGAAATAGAGTGATTGACAGATAAACAATTTTCCTAATTATATATAATTAAAGTGTCAAAATATTAACTTAGATCATCTTGATTTTCAAAGTAATTTTACCCTGTTGTTAAAAATAGCATCAAAGAACTTGTATTAGCTGCATTTGCTTTGAAGTTATGACAGAAAATAGAGCCAAACATTTGAAACACCAGTAAACTCATTGAAAATTAGTCCATAACATCCACATAAAGAGCTCTGAGATTAGAGTCAAGAAAGAGGAAAAAACTTGTTGATGGTGATCCATTTTCCTGAAAATATCTATCCAAGGCAGAGTGTGATCAAATAAAGCTTCTCTTATAAAAAATGTATAAATCTTCAAGCTGCTACAAAATGTTGTTTTTACTGCCATAGTCTAACACAGCTTCCCCTCAGGAATATCTTCTCGTTGTTCTGCAACTGAAATTGTATGCAAAAAAATGTGGTTTATTTCATTGTTTTAAAAAAGTATTCATTTTGTCTGATCACAAGAATAGAGTAAATATAAAAAAATTATAGAGAATACTATTGAAATTTAAGTGAATAATTTTAGAGAAATGGAAGCTAAACTACATATTTCTCCACTACTCTTTAAATATGTGAATGTGAAAAATGATGGGGGGAAAGTCTTCATGATTTATTTAAAAAGTTTTAAATTGCATATAAATATAAAGAAAATAGTTTAAATGATCAGGAGGAGGTGGATGAGTATTCCCTTTTATTCAAGGAAAAGGGAAATTCGAAATGAATATGAAATAATGAGTATGAAATATGCATTTTTTAAAAGAGAAACTTTTGTTATTTGAGAAATCAGAAAATCATTCCAGAAGAGAAATTCATATTTTGAATTCATTTTCAGCCTTCTTACACTACATTGTGATAACTGCATTATTATTAAATCATATCAACTCCACATACAGAAAATCTAAAATGGGTTTAAGGAAAATATATATATTTCTCTAGACTGAAATGAACAAATATCAACTTTTACTTACAAAGCCAGAAGATGGACTTTTGGATTCTTCAAAAATACCGTAAGGGTAGCTTTTGCACAAGAGAGACTTGGAGCTCTCCTTGGTGCTGAATTTCTCTTCAACGTGCCACACTTTCTTCTTCCGATACTGAGCACAGTACTCAAAGGCAAGTATCTGGCCTGCTGGTCTGAAGTTTACCAGCCTGCTTTTCTTTGCGCTTAGTGCAGCCTTTCCAGCTGCCTCAGTTAATAGGTTTATATACACAGGACCACTTTTCCACTTCAGAAACAGCTATCGCATTTATTTATTTATTTATTTATTTATTTATTTATTATTTATTTATTTATTTATTTATTACATGTATTTATATGCCGCCATTCTCCCGAAGGACTCAGGGGGGCGAACACAAATTAAGAAACAAGTACAATAAAGTCATAATTTAATCCAAATAATTAATTAGTAGTAAATAATAAAGCCCGGAATCAGTCTCAGCCTATTTGTTTGAAAAGCCAAGTCTTCAAGTCCTGACGGAAGGAGCGGAGATAAGGAGTCGTCCGGAGCTCAGTAGGTAATTCATTCCAGAGGGTGGGAGCACCCACAGAGAATGCCCTACCCCTGGGCACAGCAAGGTGACATTGGCTCGCTGTCAGAACCCTGAGGAGAGCGGCCCTATGTGAGCAAACAGGATGGTGAGAGGCAGGCAGGAGAAGGTCATGCAAATATCCTGGACCTAAGTCATGAAGAGCCTTATAGGTGAGGACTAGCACCTTGAAGCGGACCCGGAGAACCACTGGTAACCAGTGCAGCTCATGCAGGAGGGGTGTTATATGGGAGTAACGAGGGGCTCCCATAACAACCCGTGCAGCTGCATTCTGGATCAGCTGGAGTCTCCGGGTGCATCTCAGGGGCAGGCCCATGTAAAGGGAATTGGAGTAATCCAAACGGGAAGTAACCAGGGCATGAGTGACTGTGCGAAGGTCATCTCGGTCCAGGAAAGGGCGCAACTGGCGCACCAGGCAAACCTGTGCAAAGGCCCCCCTGGTCACGGCCGTTAGATGGTCTTCTAGGGATAGCCGAGCATCCAGGAGGACACCCAAGTTGCGAGCCCTATCAACGGGTGCAAGTTTTTCCCCATCTATCAAAAGTGATGGAGCCTCTGAACCCCGAGATGCCAGCATCCACAGTCACTCAGTCTTGGAGGGATTGAGTTTGAGTCTGTTTCTGCCCATCCAGGCCCGTACCTCCTCCAGGCAACGGGACATCACGGAAAGGGCATCTCTGGGGTGGTCTGGGGTGGAGATGTATAATTGGGTATCATCAGCATATTGATGATATCTCACCCCAAAGCCACGAATGATCTCACCCAGTGGCTTCATATAGATGTTAAAAGAGCAGGGGGGAGAGAACTGACCCCTGAGGCACCCCACAATTAAGGGGCCTCGGGGTGGATCTCTGCCCTCCCGCCCATACAAACTGAAAGTGACCCGAGAGGTAGGAGGAAAACCATTGTAAGACAGTGCCTCCCACCCCTAACCCCACAAGTCGCTGCAGTAGGATACCATGGTCAATGGTATCAAAAGCCGCTGAGAGGTCAAGTAGGACCAGGATGGAAGAACAACCTGCATCCCGAGCCCGCCAGAGATCATTCACCAGAGCGACCAATGCCGTTTCCATGCTGTGACCGTGTCAGAAGCCTGATTGGTACGGGTCAAGGTATTCCATTTCCTCCAGGAATTGTGGGAGCTGTTGAGCCACTATAGTCTCAACAACCTTCGCGATGAAGCGAAGGATGGAGACGGGACGATAATTATTAAGTGAGTCTGGATCCAGGGAAGGCTTCTTGAGGAGAGGTCGAACCACTGCCTCCTTAAGAGAGGCGGGGAAGTTCCCCTCTCTCAACGAAGCATTGACAATTGCCTGGATCCAGTCTCTAGTCACCTCTCTGGCAGCCGAAACCAACCAGAAGGGACAAGGGTCCAATAAACAAGTGGAGGAACTAAGTTTGCCCACAATCCTGTCCACTTCCTTGACAGAAACAGGGTCAAATTCAATCCAGATATTATTCTCAAGACCCGCCCTAGTCTCCCGATTGGATTCTGCCCAGTCAGAGTCCAATCCAATCTGGATCTGAGCGATTTTATCATGCAGAAACTGTACAAAATCCTCAGCTCTGCCCTGCAAAGGGTCTTCCCTCGCTCCCTGATTGAGGAGGGAGCGGGTCACACGAAACAGGGCCGCTGGGCGGTTTTCTGCAGATGCAATGAGGGCGGCGAAGTAGTGACGTTTCGCCGCTTCCATCGCCACTAGATAAGACCTAATATGGGTTCTTAACTGTGTTCGGTCAGATTCAGATCGGGAGGACCTCCAACTCTCCTCTAAGCATCTTTTCCGACGTTTCATTTCCCGGAGCTCCATGGAAAACCAAGGAGCAATCCGGGATCTGCGTCGGGTTAGAGGCCACAAAGGTGCAATTCTATCCAAGGCGTCGGTAGCCACCCATTCCCAGGATGCCACCAGAGCCTCAGCTGAATCGCAGGATTGAGAGGTGGGGAATGTCCCAAGCTCCTTCAAGAACCTTTCTGGGTCCATCAGGCACCTAGGGCAGAACCATTTTATGGGTCCCGTCTCCCAGCGGCAGGGGTTGACAGATTGAAAGTCTAGTCTAAGGAGGGAATGGTCAGTCCATGACAGGGGAGTGATGGAAAGTTCCCCCTTACCATGACCATTTATCCACTGCCCAGAGAGAAAAACCAGGTCGAGTGTGTGTCCTCCCCTATGAGTTGGGCCCTGAATAACCTGAGTCAGGTCCATGGCTGCCATGGAGGCCATGAACTCCCGGACTGTCTCAGATGACTCACCAATCGAAGGCAGATTAAAATCTCCCACAACTAAAAGGTTGGGGAGTTCAAGTGCCACCTCAGACAAGACATTGAGCAGTGCGGGCAGGGCTGTGGCAACATAGCTGGAAGATAGGTATGTGACCAGCAAGCCCGACTGAACTCCAGGGTCCCACTTCAATAGAAGAGACTCACATTATGCAGGAGACGTCACATTCCCCAGGGGGTGTATGGAAATATCCATCATGGTTTTGTTAAGGATATTATGAGACAAAGGAAGTTCATATTTAATTCAGGGGAAGGCACCCCCCCCCCCCGATTAGTCGATTTATCACTTGACTGATGAACAACTCAAGATGAGTAACATTGGGCCAGGCAAAGTGTTCAACTGCTTTTGGGAATATGGAATTGAAGCTGGTAAGACAGAAACCTTATCAACTAATATTGATTGTGATGGGTACCCCTTTCCAAATTCCTTGAGGAGAAAGATGGTTACAAGGGTCCAGCATTCATATAGAAAATCAGTCAGAATTGTAAGAGAAATTGAGAGATGTTTGATATTTTCAAAGTCATTGCATTTGTTTGAATTCTATCACCCATAGTTGAGGTATGTATTAAGATGAATTTTAGGAGGTTAAACAAATATGATATGAAAATATACTCAAGCGTTCTAGCTTGCAAAACAGTTCTGAAGTAATGCACATGTGACTTTAAAGGTGCATGGGGAAGAAAAAGAATTATCTTCCTAAGTAGAATTTCCTACTATTCTCAATTTTAGCAGAAAGAATGTTTCCTTTTAATTTTTATGGTTTGTGAATAGAGTAAAAGAAAATACTGGCCTCTCTTTCTTTCTGAATTATCAATAGGCCATATTCAAGTCACAATTTTTTTTTTAATTTGATTTATATGCCGCCCTTCTCCGGAGACTCAGGGCGGCTTACAATGTGCTAAGCAATAGCCTTCATCCTTTTGTATATTTATACAAAGTCAGCTTATTGCCCCCACAAACTGGGTCCTCAATTTACCTACCTTAGAAAGGATGGAAGGCTGAGTCAACTTTGAGCCTGGTGAGATTCGAACCTGCAGTAATTGCAGGCAGCTGGTCTTAATAACAGGGTGCTTTAGACCACTGTACTACCAAGGCTCTGCTAAATGGTTAGCTAAGCCTTCTTGAATATTTTGAGAATATTTGCTCTAGCAATTTTTCTAGAGTTATATCTAGCTTAGTTCTTTGAAAACTATTCTACTTTTTTGAAAACTAACAATATCACTACAATTGTTCTAAGATCTGAAATGTAAATTTAAGTTATCTGCTGAGTTTACATGAGACATAATTGATATTTGTCATGCTTTGAATCCTGGTATATTCCTACAGGTATAAATATTTATCATCATCTGCTTTCTCATTTTAAATACAGTATTTTTAATTATTTCATCAATAGAACACAAACTGGACCTTGTATCTATAAGTCAAACCAAATAATGGTAATTTGTTATTCAATTTACACATCAGACTTGCAAGAATCAGCTAGGCACCTCTAAAACAATTTAAAGAAAAAAATATCAGGAATTCAAGGAAATGTTCCTCAACAGAATGTTCATCTCTATTAAACACCTAATTGTAGGATAAAGATGTAATTAATTTGAGATACAGATGAAAATATGTATGATGTATAGATATATAAATGTACCTACTATTTTAAACAAAATATTTTCCCAGTAATAATAATAATAATAATAATTTTATTTCTATACCGCCCTTCTCCCGAAGGACTCAGGGCGGTGTACAGCCAATTTAAAAACACAAGACACAACAATAATTAAAAATTAAAATAATTAAATAGATTTGGCCGATTTAAAACCCCAAAAATTTAAAATACCCCAATTTAAAATTATCATGTCGATAGCCCGGCCTGGCGGAACAACAGGGTCTTCAATGCGCAACGAAACACCCGGAGGTCGGAGATCTTGCGTATTTCCGGGGGCAGTTCATTCCACAGGGCTGGGGCTCCCACAGAGAAGGCCCTCCCCCTGGGTGTCGCCAGCCGACATAACTTGGCTGATGGCACCCTGAGGAGACCCTCTCTGTGGGAGCGGACTGGTCGGTGGGAGGCTATTGGTGGCAGAAGACGGTCTCGAAGGTACCCGGGTCCTATGCCATGGAGCGCTTTAAAGGTGGTAACCAACACCTTGAATCGCACCCGGAAGACCACTGGGAGCCAGTGCAGCTCGCGCAGGAGGGGTGTCACGCGGGCACAACGAGTTGCGCCCATAACCACCCGCGCGGCCGCATTCTGGACCAGTTGGAGCCTCCGAGTGCTCTTCAAGGGGAGCCCCATGTACATTTGCAAATATATTGTAGAGGTATAAAAGAGAGATTATCCGAAATGTAAGGTTGCCACCAGCTAGGGAATTTTGTATTTCTTACAGCTAATGTTTATCTGTTCAGGACAGTAATCTGTTCGAGCAATGAAATAAACTTGTATTTTAAGGATGGGAATTTCAGGCACATTTTATAAAGCACACGTGTCCACAAGCGTGGTGGTGGTGGGTGTATCTTCAATGACCTATTGTTAAGCATGTTAAGCTCAGTCAGGTTTACTTTTTCCCCTAATTGAGAAACCTGACAGAAAAAATTGTCCCAAGGTGCATCACCAGTATTTCCTTTGTCTGACATATTTGTAACAAAGGAATGCAAGTATCACTCTACATAGCAACAGAGGCCTTATCATAAGTTATATTGTTAACTCGTACAGTTTTATATAAATACTTTGAGGTTTGTGTGCGTGTGTCTCTGTGTAGCTGGGTATTTACTCTTCAGATATAATTCCAAAGCTGGGGTTTCTGGACAAGGCCACAGTTGATGGACAATTAGGAAAAACTGTTTAGATTAATTCTAACAAGAGCATCTTTGATTTTAAGTTGACCTGGTGGGGTAGGAGAGGTGAATTAATGAGATAAATATATTACTTGTGGTGAATCTGGAATAAAAATAGAAAACTGTGATACTCTTTTAAGTTATCATGGTCTTAATATTCAGAAATAATAAGTATGTGAGGCATTTATATCTATATTACAGGACTAACCAGTCATGAACAAGTGCTTTCCCCTCCAATGTTCATTCCCACAAAATGTTGTAGACCTCCACTTCCAATGTATATTTTGCATGTAACCCTCATGAAGTAACCACTTATGAAAGCTGAAATAAACAGCCACTCCTTAGTTTTGTTTCAAGGTGAAAGCATGATCCAGCCAAATTAAAATATTAATACTAAATTCCATCAATTCCAATGGGAAAAAATAAGCATGAAGCTAAGCAATGCTTACTTTGGACTGGATTTTGTTTTCTTTTTTCAGTGAAAAACTAATTTCCACTGAATGTTTGGCCAGTAAATGTTGGAAGCTAAGTTCAAACACTCATACCCTGTTTTCTCAAAATAAGACATCCCCTGATAATAAGCCTAATTGGGCTTTTGAGCGCATGGCAATAAGGCCAAGTCCTTATTTCAGGGTTCAACAAAATATAAGACAGGGTCTTATTTTTGTGAAAACACTGGTAAATAAAATACCACAGAAATTAGAAGAACATATTCAAAAGTAAATCAGTTTAGTCTCAAAGCCTACTAAACAGAGAAGATCTTCTTCCTTCTAATAAAGTTTTCATCTTTTTATCTTGCCTCTGATTCATGGGTTTGTAAGTTTAGACAAACCTGGTGGAGAACGTTCAATGATCTTTAATCATATTTTCTAATTCATTTAATGTAAAAATTAAATGAAGTAAGCCTCAGAAGAAATGTCTGGAAATCTGTTTCCGAGTTGACAGCTGTGACCTAAACCAGAGTGCCTACAAAATACTAATTCCCCAGGAAGCTTGTTTCCCTTCTTATTTCATGACCGGTGGGGGAAAAAAAACCCTGTTCTGTCTCAGAATGGAGGGAAGGAATCTATCTCTTGCAGTCATCAAGGTGCTCCTTCTTACATGGAAAGAGAAAAGAAGAAGAAAAGGGGGGTAAGCAATGGATTTGTCAGACCTGCCACAACTTAAACCTGTAATTAGAAACAATCCTTGGCTCTATTTGTTGAGAAAGGTATAGTTAATTAGAGATAGAGTGTATTTCAGTAAAGCAAAACCAGAACTGAAAATTACATGCCAAAATCCTCAAGTTCTACTTTTTCCTCCCCTAACTGTCTCTCATTGTTCCCCTCAGTGTAACCAATCTGATTCAAGCAAGCTGTTTTCCCAACGGACAGTGCAGACCTATGCAGTCGTCTTCTTCTTCCAACTGGGTAACCTTGAGGCAGCTTCTTGAGCAGATAGAGCATTTACTTTCATTTCCAAAGCATTCCTTTCTTCATACTCCCCCCCCTTCCTATATAATAATTTAGCACAAGCGTAACCGTAAAGTGGCAGCTGTCAGGGTTCAAATTAAGATCACAATCTAGGGAAAAGTTCTCTTACTTATTAAATTAATAAATATATCCTACTCTTCCATGGTTCACATAATAATCGAAAACCTTCTGCATTCTCTTTCCTATAGTGGTCTATAAGAACCCTTGTTTGTTATACCCTGTTTTCCCCAAAATAAGACACCCTCTGATAATAAGCCCAATCAGGCTTTTGAGCACATGGCAATAAGGCCAAGTGCTTATTTCAGGGATCAAAAAAATATAAGACAGGGTCTTATTTTCGGGGAAACACTGTATGTGTCCAGTTTCTTATATTGAGATGCACACTTCTCAATGTGTATATTCTATTTCGCTCTCATGGCTAACATCCATGGCTGGATAGATGTAACCTTCATATTCAACATTAACATACCTCTGTAAGTGGAAGTTGCTTTTAGCCATGTACAAAAATGGACTAATTAGAACAGAACCTGCATTTAATTATTTGTATATTTACTTTTCGTTTATTTTAAAGACTATTAGAAGAGCATGGAATAAGTCAGCCTGAAGGCAATAGACATAGGAGCAAAGGCAAGTAAAATGATACATGCTAATGAAAATAGAATACAAGAAATTAAAGAACACAGAGGAGCAAACAGGGAGGAGGAAAAAGAGGAACAGCAGCATATTTATCACTCTTTCAGTTTGCTAATAGCCACAAATAAACTTCCAGGGCTTTCAGAAAGCATGCAAAGAAAGTGTGAAGCTTTCGGATAAGAAAAATTGCACTTCCGTATAGCTTAACAGCACCACCTAGCGGTTAAATTAAGTGTTTTATTCCTGGCAAAACTGCCTGCAGGATTTACAACATAAATTATCAGTAATATCTTTAGTTAAAATCAACACGCCATTCAATAAAACTCCATGCCACATTAGGAAAATCAATCAATAAAATAAAGTGCTCCTCAGAAGCAGAATACCAGAATATAAAACTAGATTTCAAGTACGGTTTAAAAGGGATGAAAAATTGTACACCAGAGGAGGAGGAATCTTGCAACCATCATAGAGAAGGCTTGTGATTACAGTCAGATCTCATTCCTGGGAGGGTATAATTTCTTTAGGATGGAGTATCGGTAATCCTCGATTTATGACCACAATTGAGCCCAAAATTTCTGCTGCTAAGTCACATTGTTAAGTGACTTTTGTGCAAAAGTCACATTGTTAAGTGACTTTTGCACACTTTAACTGCCTTTATTGCCACCGTTGTTTAGTGAAGTACTGCAAGTTGTTAAGATAGTAAAATGGTTGTTAAGTGAATCTGGCTTCCCCATTGACGTTGCTTGTCAGGAAGTCATAATAGGCGATCACATGAACCCAGGACACTGCAACCGACATAAATGTGAATCAGTTGCCAAGCATCTGAATTTTGATCACGTGACCATGGGGATGCCGCAACAGTCGTTAAGTGTGAAAAACGGTCCTAAGTCACCTTTTTATGGTGCCGTGTAACTTCAAACAGTCGCTAAATGAACTATTATAAGTCAAGGACTATTCATAGTACCGTTTCTAAAGCATTGAAAGCGACTTAGTGGCCTAGAGGTGGAGCTCTTTTTTTTTTTTTTAAACTTGATTTGTATGCCACCCTTCTCCGGAGACTCAGGGCGGCTTACAATGCGTTAAGCAATAGCCTTCATCCTTTTGTATATTTATACAAAGTCAGCTTATTGCCCCCACAATCTGGGTCCTCATTTTACCTACCTTAGAAAGGATGAGTCAACCTTGAGCCTGGTGAGATTTGAACTTGTAGCAATTGCAGGCAGCAGATGTGAGTGGATGTTAATAACAGTGCTTTTAGTCTGCTGAGCCACCAGAGCTCTTCATCACAACCAGGAGGTTGTGAGTTCTATCCTAGGTAGAGGCAGATGTAGGATCTCCTGCTTGGGCAGGGGGCTGGACTAAATGACCTGCAAGGTCCCTTCCAACTCTATTAATTTTTTGTTTGCACTCTGCATTAAAATTGGTCAGTTCCATAGTCATTCATGTTTACGCATTTTGATAACTTCCAAAAATCAGTCCATGCTCCCACCCCAAAAGTACAGTTGGACACTATTTTAAGACCATGGAATGAATGTTTATAACTTTTACTTTCCACCGCTCTCCTTAATCTATTCCTGGTATCTGAAATGCATTTTTCTGCTTTCCTACGATTAATCCAGACTGGGGATGCTAACCTTGAATTCAATTCAAACTTTATTGTCAGAGTATAGCACGTTTACGATGAGATTGGCTGAGCCTCCCTTCGTGCACACACACACACCCAACACAATACAACTCACAATGAAAGACAGAAAATCCCTATTCCAGTGAATCCTGCTAAACAAACACCCAATCCTATTACACCATGTGAATTTATTGTACATAGCACTGGTCCCGCAAGTCAATCGTACTATGTTGTTGTGATTATTTTTCATTCAGGAGTTTGACAACCCACGGATAAAAACTGTTCTTCAGCCTGTTTGTGTGGCTGCTTAGGCTTCTATATCTCCTTCCCGATGGTAGGAGAGTAAAGAAGTGCTGACCAGGGTGTGAGTCGTCCCTGAGGATTGTCACTGCGTTATTTTATTTGCCAGCTGAACTCATCATTTCTGGACTGTCAGACTCTCCGTAGCTTGCAAGCTACGTGTTTCCGTATCCACCCACATTCCTTCACTTGCTTCACACACTCTTTCCTTTGTTCTCTTTCCAGCAAGGTCTGGCTGATATAGCCGGCAAGAATTACTTTCAAAAATGTAACAATTAACTTTCTCTTAGTTAGTGAGGTGTTTTATTTTCTTTATAACAAATAAATGAGTTTTATTAGAAACTTTTTATTCGCGTTTTTTTTCAGAATATTGCAACAAGGAATAAGCCTCGATTCATCTCCTCTAATTAAACCAGGGTAATTAGTCCCAGAGCCAAACATGGGATTAATAAATACCCTGACAAGGATTTTCCTCACTCTTCTAAGGCAGCGAATCCTAGTGATATCATCTAGTGGTATCAGGGGACAGCCCATAGAACTGCCTCCTATCACTCATAAATAAGCTATTGGATGTGTGTCAACTCCTCCTCCCAAATATTCTCCAAAAATCATCTCTTTTCCAAATCTTTTTGCACTTCTAACACTTCAACACCATTTATATCAACCTGCAGATCAATGTCATGTCCAGCACCAACAGAAAAGAAACATCTATTTCTGTCTCTTTTGAGCCTAGTAAATACATTTAAATGTCCTTTCTGACAGCCAGGATTCAGCATCAAAGGATTTATATATAGCAGTAAATTTCCATGCCCCTACAATGTTTTTCTCCATCCGTTGAATACATGGGAGAAACTTACAGCCAGATTTGGATTCATTCTAATGGAACATATTTTTGGATTCTTGTTTGTTTTATCCTGACAACAGTGGTCTGAGTTGTTTGGACTGACAGGATTGTCAATCATTGAACTTTTTTTGGGGGGGGGAAGTGGTTGATTATATTGCCCACAACAATCTGGATCCTCATTTTATCAACCTCAGAAGAAGGGAAGGCTGAGTCAATCTTGAGCCAGCCAGGATCAAACTGCTGGCTGCGGGCAAAGTAGCCTAATATGCTGCATTATAACCACTGCACCACCACGGCTCCTAATCCAGTCAATTATAGGGTTAGAGAAGATTGTCTTAAAATAGCCCTCAGGTTGTTTAGAGTTAAAATAATTCCATAAATTAAATCCATAAATAGGAGAAACTGAAGCTTTCCTTTCATGCTGCTTCCCAAAGAGACAAAGTCCTTGAATGGACACATAAGAACGGAGCTTGTCTACAGTAGGCACTTCTCCATTTTATCCTGCTTTCACATTAGAGGATCAAAATGAGTAAGCTTCCTCCAACCCTAATCTTGGACACCCAGTCCCAGATCAGGTCACCATGCATTTTTATTTTTGTTTTAATTTACAACATTAAAATAAAGGAGAATGTGATAACTTCCTCAATTGACAGGATGCCAAAAGTGTCCATTTCCTGATTGAATAGATCATTTCTGATTATATACTGTTGGTATGTGGAGTATTACCCAGAGTATTACTCATTTCATTGAGTAATGGAACTTATTTATTGAAAAAAGGCCTCTAATTAATTTATTATTTAATGCAGTTTTATTGAATGAAAAAAAGTCGAAAGGAAGAATTTGGTGGTAGTTCTATAATTATATCAAGATATATCAAGAACTAGTTTGGTGCAATGGTTAAGGTGCTGGCCTAGAAATTAGGAGAACATAACTTTAAACATGAAAGCTGGTTGAGTGACTATGGGATAGTCACACACTCTCTCAGCTTAACCCTCTTCACAAGGTTGTTGTGGAAAAATAGGAGAGATGAATGTTTCACCATCTTGAATTAAATATATAAATATAAATAGCCTTGGTAGTACAGTGGTCTAAAGCACCCTGTTATTAAGACCAGTTGCCTGCAATTGCTTCAGGTTCGAATCTCGCCAGGCTGAGGGTTGACTCAGCCTTCCATCCTTTCTAAGGTAGGTAAATTGAGGACCCAGTTGTGGGGGCAATAAGCTGACTTTGTATAAATATACAAAAGGATGAAGGCTATTGCTTAGCGCATTGTAAGCCGCCCTGAGTCTCCGGAGAAGGGCGGCATATAAATCAAATTTTAAAAAAACAAACAAACAAGCAGGCTAAAATAATAAATAACAACAACAACAACAATACTTTGGTCCAGGGCCTGAAAACCAGTTTTCTATATGTAGATGTATCTGGGTGCCACATGCATTATTAGATCAAAGCAACCATCTATATTATTGGAAATTAATTACTTCTGTATGCCACATGATACAAACTGCAGAGCTGGGTTCACAAACAATAGATTCCAGGCAGTGTTAAAGAATTTAGAAGAGGTCACAGAAATTTGGGAAACCTGATCAGGTTTCCACTGGCAAAGTGGAGAACAAGCAGGCTAAGATAATAAATAAAAGTTCAACTGATCTTTAAGAAATGGCTAATGCTATTTTTGTTGTTGTTGTTGTTGTTGTTGTTGTTGTTAATCGTGAAGTTGTGTCTGACCCATTGGGACCCCATGGACAATGTTCATCCAGGCCTTCCTGTCCTCTACATCCCCCGGAATCCATTTAATTTCACACCGACTGCTTCAGTGATTCCATCCAGCCACCTCATTCTCTATTGTCCCTTTCTTCTTTTGCCCTCAATCCAGTTGGTGGGTTGCTACCGGTTTGCCCCTGTTCAGGTGAACCGGTAGCAGCGGTGATGGGAGGCTCTGCCCACCCACCTGGACGTCATCAAATATGCTCTGTGCATGCATAGCAAAGGTAAGTGAAACCCACCACTGCCTCAATCATTCTCAGCATTAGGCTCTTCTCCAGTGAGTCCTTCCTTCTCATTAGGTGGCCAAAGTATTTGAGTTTCATCTTCAGGATCTGGCCTTCTAAAGAACAGTCAGGGTTGATCTCCCCTAGGACTGACCAGTTAATACTATAGGTCTGATTAATTGACTGATTAATTGATTATATGCCATAAGGTCAAATCATTGCCAATTCTTAGAACCACATAGATTTTCTCCATAATGATCTGTCCCTAACCTGGTACTTCAGCCCTTCCAATAGGGCACCCATCATTACTATAATTGAGTCTATCCACCTTAATGCTGATTGTCCTCTTTTTTCAATGCTATAAGCCTAGTCTCCATCAAAATATCTGCAGCTTTATATCTTTTCAATGGTATTCATGAATACCATTGCAGGTAGATTGCATCAATTCATTTATCACTATAGGTGACTACTATATCACAAAGTTTGAGACAGGCAACTTGGTTTGTCAAACAAAGCAATAAAAGAGAATTAGAACTACAGACATTTTCTCTCTCTTTGATATTTTTTAACAGCAGTCATGCGTGGATCTAATCATTTTCTGATCTTTTTTCTCCTTGAACAAATCTTTTAACATTTTAAGAGGCCTATGGGTGGAGCTATTTGTGGGGAAATCTAAAAATTGAATTAACTCTTCAAACTATACTTGGAATGAAAAGAAAAATCAATCCTGTCATTTCATCTATGGAGATTCTCAGTCATCCCAAAGGTGCTTTTTCAAAAGGCAACTGGACTTTGTTTCTCCTTGAAGATGTTTCCCTTCTCATTCAAGAAGCTCCTTCAGTTCATGAGGAAGCTTCTTGAACTGATGAAGTTCTTGGATGAAAAGTGAAGAAATGTCTTCAAGGAAAAACAAAGTCCAGTTGCCTTTTGAAAAAGCACCTTTGGGACAACCCAGTCTTTTCAAATATTCTATCTTAGGATATGGGGATGGGGACCTTTTCTTGTTCCCCATCCCAGTAGAACTACCTTAGTTTTAGTGGGTTGGTTTAGTATTTAGATAGACTTGAGGGCTTAGCATCACTTGAATACAGTTCCAGAAACCATAAAAGAACTGAGTCTTTTTTCCCCCCTTCCTAGCCTCATATCTAACAAATACCCTGTTGTTTCTCTTCATGGTCACAAAGGTGGAAGACTCAGCCCTCTTTTCTTCCTTGAAGTGAAACAGCCTGGAATGTATTTGCACTATGAGATGTATATAATATTTATAGAACAGTTTTTGCTATTCAGATATCTGGGCTTATCATACTTACTAAATCATTTATATGCAAATGTGATGTTTCATAAAAGACAGACTAAAGGTGAACAACGAAATAAAAGTGCAGTTAAGTGGCAGTGGCAAATCTCTGGCAAGCAAGATGCACAAAAGTCTATTCTACTTCAAAGGAAAACCCCAAGTTGAACACAAAAGGGTTGATTCTCAAATAGCGGAGTAGAGAATTATTGTGGTCTGTTGTGCTCCTTGAAGCATACAGAGTATCTGTCTTGGAAAATAATATTTATTTTAATTATACATGTCTTGCCTCAGTCCTTCTACTCCCTATCGGTTTCTTACTACATTACTTGGTGGCTTGCAGTCAGATCATCTCATCTCTTGGGATATGGGCAATGGTGGGATTCAGCCAGTTCGGGCCAGTTCGGGCGAACCGGTTGTTAAATTGCTGGCTGGCCCCTCCCCCCTCCCATTCCAGAAGTTCCCACATGCCCCGTTTTGGCTCCCAGGTAAGTACAGGGAGGCCTAATAGGCCCAAAATGAGGCATGGGGGGGGAAGCAGCGCAGCCCCCTGCAGCCCATTTTTGCGCTGAGATGGCTGCAGGGAGACCTACTAGGCCCAAAACATGGCATGGGGCTGTGTGACCCATCCCCCGCCCCCAGTTTTTCCTCCCAGGAGACTGCAGGGAGGCCTACTAGGTCCAAAAGAGGCATAGGCGGTGCCCCCCTGCAGCCTGTTTTTGCTCCCGGGGGGAGGTGCAGGAGGCCGAGTGCTGTCTGTCACACCCCCTGGCCACACCCACCATGGCCATGCCTACCCAGCGGGCCATTAGGGCAGAGAACCGGTTGTTAAATTATTTGAATCCCACCACTGGATATGGGATAAAGAAGAAGGGACAGAAGCAGCAACTTTGAGGATTGCCATTTGTGATAAGACACAAATTCCAAGGGCCATGTTCCCATTGTCTAAAACAAGTAGAGACACTCTTCACTTTAGTGGTGTGTCAGGAATAGGATATAAATTCAAGCTCATATTTCACAATGATGTATCTATTTTATATTATGTGAAGGAGAACATATGGAGCCTTTGAATCACTTGTAATGCCCTCTCCCTTTCCCTCTCTCCCTCTCCCATATATGAACTGATCAACTTTACTCTTTTGGCTTTGACAGAGAGATATTTCCTATCACTGTTTTCATTAATTGCTGTAGAAGCTGAATCATATCAGTAGCATTTCTAATCTCCTGAAGTATTTCTAGGAGAAAATCTGGCACAGGCTGATACATAACTGTGTAGCTTCCAGCAAATACAGTTTTCATTTTACTTTTTAAAAAAAGTAAATTTAGATGAGTCAAAAACAGGTAGTGATTTTCTGGTGAACTTTAAAAATCCAATTTTATCTGCATTCAAATAATCTACTTGATGTCTTTTCTATCAATTATACGTCAGCATTCTGCAAAATATTGTTATACCAGTATTGTACCAAAATATTCATACCAAAGTATCTGCAAAATAAATACCAGTAATTTATTGTAATTCAGCTTTGCTCTATTAAACTGATATATGTGATCGATTACCCAAGAAAAATACTTTTTTTGTTGTTTAGGACCTAAGAAAATTTAAAAGTACAAATAGGTACAACAAGAAATAATGAATCCCTTGGTTTCATGGTCTAGCAATGGATCCAATAAGAATATTTTTTTTTAAGATTGGCTTTATATGCTAAAGATTAATCCATTCGAAGAAACTTTGGTACACATGTTACAGGTGTTTTCACAATTATCTGTAGTGTCTGTCCCCCAAAGCAAAGTTTTCCCCTGAAGGCCCTTACCTGCTTTTTGTTCAGCTTTTGGAGAGATTGATTGAAGTTAAGTTGAAGTGTGGGGGGTTGTTTTTGCTCTTGTCCATTGTGTTGTCTTTTATTCCTTGTTCTTGTTTATTATTTTATTTATTTATTTGAATCCAGCCTTTATTATTTTTACAAATAACTCAAGGTGGTGAACATATCCTACGTGCTTTCCCCCTCTAATTACCTCCAGAACAACAATCCTGAGAGAATGACTGGCCCAAAGATGTCCAGCTGGTTTTCATGGCTGAGGTAGGACTTGATCTCACGACCTCTTGCATTCTAATCTGGTGCCTCAATCATTAAACCAGACTGGCTCTCATGTCATATTCCTTTTAACGTGAGCCAAGTGGTGGGTTGCCCCCAGTTCGCACCGATTCTATAGAATCGGTAATAAAACCGGCGGGAGGCTCCACCCACCGACCCCGACATAATCAAACGTTTCTGTGCATGCTACCGGTTCGAATGGCCCTGCTGCGAACCGGTAGTAAAGGTAAGTAGACAGGGGTGACAGCAGATTGATCAGACTAAGAAACCAAGTAGGTCAGATCTGCTTATTTTGTAACACTTCTAGTAGCAGAATCTTGCAAGTCACTTTATCTTTGTGTGAATTAAGGAGCAGCTTGTCTGAGATAGCAATAGCACTTCGATTTATATACCGTTTCACAGTGCTTTACAGCCCTCTCTAAGCGGTTTTACAGAGTCAGCACATTGCCCCCAGCAATCTGGGTCCTCATTTTTCCGACCTCGGAAGGATGGGAGGCTGAGTCAACCTTGAGCCTGGTGAAACCAACTGGCTCATATTTATGATGGTTGCAATGTCCCAGGGACATGTGGTCACCTTTTGTGACCTTCTGACAAGCAAAGTCAATGGGTGAGCCAGATTTGCTTTATAACCATATTACTAACTGTGGCGAGAAAGGTTGTAAAATGGGGCAAAACTCACTTAACTCACACCTCTCCTGCGCGAGCTGCACTGGTTGCCGGTGGTCCTTCGGATCTGCTTCAAGGTTTTGGTTTTGACCTATAAAGCCCTTCATGGCATGAGCCCGGGATATTTGCAGGACCACCTCCTACTGGCCTCCCACTGCCTAATGCGCTCACATACAGCTGTCCTCCTCCAGGTGCCCTCGGTCAGACAATGTCGGCTGATGGCGCCCAGGATGAGGGCGTTCTCTGTGACTGCACTGACCCTCTGGAACGAGTTACCCACTGAGCTCCGGACAGCCCCTGATCTCCGTTCCTTCCGCAAGGATCTGAAGACATGGCTCTTTAAGCAAACTGGCTGAGTCTGTTTTGGGAATTTTAATTAATTGTGGGTTTTAAACTGAATTTTAATTGTTAATTTTAATCGTATTTATTATTGTTGTTTTTATTGGGATTTTATTGTTGTGAGCCGCCCCGAGTCCTTCGGGAGAAGGGCGGCCTATAAATTTTAATAAACTTAAACTTAACAACTGTCTCATTAGCAATGGAAATTTTGGGCTCAATTGTGGTCATAAATTGAGGACTACCTGAAAATCTAAGTCTTTTGCAAGGCTACCATTAATTAGCATGCCAAAAGATTGGTCTATTGACTTCTGCAATAACTTTAGTTAATACAACTGATCTATGCTCCAATTCACTGCGTGTGTTTTTCTACATCATATACATAATAGATTTTCTACCTAGGAGTGTTTTATGCAAATATTTAAAGAACTACAGCCCACTTTTTCACGTGGAAGCATTTAACACAAAAAAAACTTTTAATAGTAAAGAGCACAAAGCCAGGCAAAGGAGTGAGTGGGAGAGGTGGGGAGGGGTGGGGCCAGTCAGTGGTGTGATTTGCCAGTTCGCTGAACTGTGCATAATGGTTACTACCGGTTCAGGAAAACCAGTCCGAACCAGCTGAATACCACCTCAGAAACACACCCAGAGTCCACTTGCTGCCACACATTTAACTATAACTTCTGTACATTAGAACATTACACACTCCTTCAGATTTACTTCCCTAGCCTGCACATGACCCTTAGACCCAGGAGATGTCATGGACTGAATAAAATGTGACAAAACTCACTTAACAACGCTCTTGTTTAGCAACCAAAATTTTGGGCTCAATTGTGGTCATAAGTGAAGGACTATCTCTACCTTCCTCTGCATGGCAGCCTTGTCCTAATAAACTCCTTCCCTCTTCTGGCAGTTTTCCTCTCTGTTAGAGGCACCAAAATAATCCAGATGATATAAGGTCTCCTGCTGGAGCAGGGGGTTGGAAATGGCCTCTAAGTTTCCTTCTAACCCTGCTCTTCTATGATTCTGTAAGGATCTCCTGCTGGAGCAGGGGGTTGGACTAGATGACCTCCAAGATCCCTTCCAACCCTAGATTGCTGTGCTATTTCAAAGAGCCTTCTGAAGCCAGGGTTTGTGGTCCTTCCTTCCTCTCCTTTTTTTTCTCTCTCTCTCTCCCACCCTCCATATATCTTATCTTATCTATCTATCCATCCATCCATCCAACTATCTCATTCACTTTCTCCTCCCTCCCTCCCTCCCTCCCTCTCTCTCTCTCTCTCTCTCTCTTTCTTTCTTTCTTTCTTTCTTTCTTTCTTTCTTTCTTTCTTTCTTTCTTTCTTCCTTCCTTCCTTCCTTCCTTCCTTCCTTCCTTTCTCTGTCTCTCTCTTTCTATTCCTTCCCTTCCTCCTTCCCTCTCTCCTTCTAAAGCTAGGAGACCCACCTGAAACAAAAACTCCTTTGGATGAAACCGGCCATTATATCCGGCTTATTCAACCCAACACACACACACACACACACACACACACACACAAAAACACGGTCTTTGCTTCCAACCAAACGCAGAACAGCGGAGGAGGGCCCGGCAGGCATGTGGCAGCCAGGAAGGAAGTCGCAGCAACAAAAGCTGAGATGTTTGCAGTGGACGTAAAAACTTATTTAAGCTGCCTTAAAGCAGTTCAGTGCGATTTGCCCCATTTCCCTGCCAGCCTGTAAGGGGAGCTTGGCAGCAGCTGAATCTTGACATGGAGGGTTTATTCAAAAAGAAAATAAAAGAGACCGAAAAAAGAAAAATAAATCCCCACAAAAGGCTGCAAGAGGGGTGGTGAGGGAGAAGACATCCAGCCAGGCTGTGTCATTGGGGAGGGAAAGAACAAGAGATGGGAACAGCTGAGCTTCTTGTAGCCTTCTTGCAGCTTTTTGCTAAGCTTCCTCTCAGCTGGGACTGGGACGGGATGCTCCCTCCCAACAAGGCAAGAAGTGGCTGTGGCTGTGACGGATGGGGAGGGGTGAGGCTTCAGCCAATTCCCCAAACTGAACAAAAAGTTAACTGGCTGAAGAATCCCACCACTGCCTACACCATTTCTAACAGATGTCCAGTCTTTTCTTGAAAACTTCCAGTGATGAAGCTTCCACAACTTCTGAAGGCAAGCTGTTTCAGGGGTTGATTACTCTCACCGTCAGAAAATGTGAACAAAACATTTCAGTCTTGTCTTTTATGCCCTGTGGAAGCTCGCTAGATTTCAATCTGGATTTATTCAACCTTGGAGCAGGTTTTCCCATGGGCAATGCAAGGGGGATAGGAGACGGGGTCAAACAGTCCCTGTACATGAGAGACAGAGCAACTTACCAAAAGTTAGGCGACCGGCCAAGACAGGCAATGGAGGCAAACAGGGAGGGAGACAAACAGGCGATGGAGGCAAACAAGGATGAACGGGGCAAATATAGGCTGTGGAGGCAAACGGGGAGGGAGGCAAATGAGGACGACGTGGCAAATGGAGGCAGTGGAGGCAAACGGGGAGGGAGGCAAACAAGGGCCGTCCAAATGGAGGCAACAGAGGCAGACAGGGAAGGAGGCAAACAAGGGCCATCCAAATGGAGGCAACAGAGACAAACAGGGAAGGAGGCAAACAAGGGCCATCCAAATGGAGGCAACAGAGGCAAACAGGGAGGGAGGCAAACAAGGGCCATCCAAATGGAGGCAACAGAGGCAAACAGTGAAGGAGGCAAACAAGGGCCATCCAAATGGAGGCAACAGAGACAAACAGGGAAGGAGGCAAACAAGGGCCGTCCAAATGGAGGCAACAGAGGCAAACAGGGAAGGAGGCAAACAAGGGCCATCCAAATGGAGGCAACAGAGGCAAACATGGAGGGAGGCAAACAAGGGCCATCCAAATGGAGGCAACAGAGGCAGACAGGGAGGGAGGCAAACAAGGGCCATCCAAATGGAGGCAACAGAGACAAACAGGGAAGGAGGCAAACAAGGGCCATCCAAATGGAGGCAACAGAGACAAACAGGGAAGGAGGCAAACAAGGGCCATCCAAATGGAGGCAACAGAGGCAAACAGGGAGGGAGGCAAACAAGGGCCATCCAAATGGAGGCAACAGAGGCAGACAGGGAGGGAGGCAAACAAGGGCCATCCAAATGGAGGCAACAGAGGCAAACAGGGAAGGAGGCAAACAAGGGCCATCCAAATGGAGGCAACAGAGGCAAACAGGGAGGGAGGCAAACAAGGGCCATCCAAATGGAGGCAACAGAGGCAAACAGGGAAGGAGGCAAACAAGGGCCATCCAAATGGAGGCAACAGAGGCAAACAGGGAAGGAAGCAAACAAGGGCCATCCAAATGGAGGCAACAGAGGCAAACAGGGAAGGAGGCAAACAAGGGCCATCCAAATGGAGGCAACAGAGGCAAACAGGGAAGGAGGCAAACAAGGGCCATCCAAATGGAGGCAACAGAGGCAAACAGGGAAGGAGGCAAACAAGGGCCATCCAAATGGAGGCAACAGAGACAAACAGGGAAGGAGGCAAACAAGGGCCATCCAAATGGAGGCAACAGAGACAAACAGGGAAGGAGGCAAACAAGGGCCATCCAAATGGAGGCAACAGAGGCAAACAGGGAAGGAGGCAAACAAGGGCCATCCAAATGGAGGCAACAGAGACAAACAGTGAAGGAGGCAAACAAGGGCCGTCCAAATGGAGGCAACAGAGGCAAACAGGGAAGGAGGCAAACAAGGGCCATCCAAATGGAGGCAACAGAGACAAACAGGGAAGGAGGCAAACAAGGGCCATCCAAATGGAGGCAACAGAGACACAGGGAAGGAGGCAAACAAGGGCCATCCAAATGGAGGCAACAGAGGCAAACAGGGAAGGAGGCAAACAAGGGCCATCCAAATGGAAGCAACAGAGGCAAACAGGGAAGGAGGCAAACAAGGGCCATCCAAATGGAGGCAACAGAGACAAACAGGGAAGGAGGCAAACAAGGGCCAT